AATTAAAGAATTCCCCATGCTGCATGTGTATCATTCCAGCTAAAAATCTGTCTATAGACCTTGTAAGAAGAAGGGTAAAAACAAAGTTTCATTATCCAAAATATGTCAAAACGTAATAGGCTGGAGGGAAGTTTTTTAGACTGTCTTTCATGCCCTTAGAAGGCCGAGTGAAAGGTTGCTTTTCCTCTAAACCACCATTTCTTAAGTTGTTGCTAAAAATACTTGGTGGCGGGCCAGTGTAACATAATTGATGTTGCTGAAAAATATTTGGATAAGACCATAGCGTGCCTGACTGAATCCCAAGTCCGTGACCTTGAGCAAGTTACCTAACCTCTCTGTGCCCCAGTTCCTTCCTCTGTAAAATGATGATAAAAATAGCACTAACCTCAGGACCGCTTTGAGGATTAAGAGAGTTTGTATTTCAAAGCACTTTGAACACCGCCTGGCACATGGAAGCACTAAGTAAGTATCTAGGATTATTATTCGTGAAAACAGACACTTTGAACTGAGCCCTGCAAAGTATTATGCACTCAGCGCTGTGTAAGAACCTGTACCCACTTACCATGAGCAACTGTGGCCCATCTATTTCCTAATGAAGAAGGAGCAATAATAGATCCCAACTGTAGATGGGGTTTCCTAGTTTGATTGAAGTTCTGAATTCCAGTTTCAGTAAATAGGTATCATGAGCTTAGGGCAGGGGTGGGCAAACTTTTTGACTCGAGGGCCACAATGGGTTCTTAAACTGGACCGGAGGGCCGGAACAAAAGCATGGATGGAGTGTTTGTGTGAACTAATATAAATTCAAAGTAAACATCATTAAAAAAAAGGGTACGGTTTTTTTTTTTTTAGTTTTATTCATTCCAACCAGGCCGGATCCGGCCCGCGGGCCGTAGTTTGCCCACGGCTGACCTAGGGCCAGGGGGAAGGGAACAATGGGGACATTATTGTTTAATAGGTATGGAATTTGAGTTTGAGATGATGAAACATTCTGGAGAATGGACAGTGTTCATGGTTGCACAGCAGTGTGAATGTATTTGATGCTGCTGAACTATACGCTTAAAAATGGTTAATAGGGAAAATTTTATGCTAGGTATATTTTACCAGGATTTAAAAAAGTAAAGTAAACCAGTGAGATGCACCTATGAAAAAACAGTGGTACAATCTGGATGTACAAGGCAGGATGATGTCTTTTTGCTGTTATTTTCTTTTCATTTTTACCTATTTATTTACTAGCTACTTATTTAAAATTTACTAGATAAATTGTATCTAATATAGTCATTCTTAAGTCTTAGAGTTATTTCTTAGAGTTACTGTAGATATTTATATGTTATAGATTACTACCATAGGCCAATTTGGAACAGAAGATTCTAAGTACACTTCCCTGTAGATTCTGTCTTAAGGAGGGGCATTCTTTATTAATTAATGTTTTTGGCCTTTTGTCTTACTTTAACCTTTGACATCTCCAATTCGTGCAGCAAATATTTATTGTGTGCCTACTATAATGTTGGGGGCATTGGGACTGTAGCAGTGAACAAAACACAAATAATCCTGTCTTAATGGAGCTTACATTCTAATGTTCTTCATTTCCTTATTGTAAAGAAGTTTTTGTTTCATGAAAATCATTTGAGAATTTTTCAGCAACTTTGATTAAACCATAGGCATGTAGTACCACACTCCCTAAATCAGGAGCTGATGTCCATACTCATTAGTCCTAATGTGTCTTTCTTCTTACAATTTCCATAGGTTAATATCATTCTCTACAGAACAGATTATTATCATTATTATTATTAAATGCCCAACAGACATTTTAAGTTAAAGTTCAGACTTACAATATAGAGCTTATTCGACTGATAGATTATACGTATTTATTTTTTTAAATGGTTAAGTTACCATGCTGTTTTAACTTCTTAGAGACTGTCCATGTTACACCGATATTTGATGCTGTTATTTCTGACTTTAATGAATCTTTTCTTTGCCATTTATGTAATAGAATATGATTTTGGAGCTTAGGGGCTTGGGAGGCCTCTATACCTGCTCAAAAGTTTCACTGGCTGCCTATGACCCAGAAAATGGAATATACTCTCCCCTATCCTGTGTTCTCCACACGGGGGTCCCCAGGAATCTTCCCGATGCTATCCAGCACGACTCTTAGGGGCTTGGGAGGCCCCTATACCTGCTCAAAAGTTTCACTGGCTGCCTATGACCCAGAAAATGGAATATACTCTCCCCTATCCTGTGTTCTCCACACGGGGGTCCCCAGGAATCTTCCCGATGCTATCCAGCACGACTCGTCCGCCTGACACCTCTGCTGCCATCACCATGTCTCAAGGACAGCACATGTTTTCCTGCTCTTCTTGCTTAGAGTTTCCTTAATTGGCCTTTCTACTTGCCTAGGGCCACCACTTCTTAAATCAGTGGTTCTCAACCTTGGCTGCACATTAGAATCAC